CCAGTACCAAAAAAAAAAAAAAAAGAAGAATGTAGATGTAGTTCTCACAAATTTTACATTAAGAACTTTAGAAAAAAAAGTGACTCAATTAGAATTTGGATTCTAAATTCAGATCTTCAAAGAGCTCAGTTGTATACATGATGGCTAATGTTTTTGAGTATTAGTTTCCTCAACAATTGAATAATACTATGTAAAGGGGCACATTGGATGCTGTGTTGTGCTTCAGCTGTCCTGCCTATCCAAAACTGTCAAAGAGTTCATAACCTTTGAGTGATCCCGGTAAGAGAAGGCAAGACCTTTACAGACTCTTATGTCTGAAGCTTTTTTCCCCGTGGCCAACGAATTATGAGTGTTGTCTTAACCAATCATGTACAGAGCTATGAATTTATTCTGGCCTATTTTGAGTGTTTTTAATCCTTTGCTATGGTTTGAATGTTTGCATCCCCTCCATGACTCATGCTGAAACTTAGTTTCAATGCAACAGTATTAAGAGGTAGGGTCCTTAGGGGACAGTTAAGCTCTGGAGGCTCCACTGTCATGAGTGTATTAGTACTTTTATAAAAAGGCTGGAGGGAACCAGCTAGGTTCCTTTTTACCTTTCCACTTCTTTAGCCATGTGAAGACATAGCACCCCTCTCCTCTGGAAGATGTAGCAACAAGGTACCATCTCTGGAAGCAGAAAGTCTGGACCCTCACCAACACTGAACCTATTTTTACCTAGATGGTGAACTGCTAGCCTCCAGAACTGTGTGAAATAAATTTCTGCTCTTTATAAATTATCCTGTCTCAGGAATTTTGTTATAGCAGTGTGTGAACTAATAAGCATAACAACCATGAAATCCCTTCCCTAATAATAAAAACCACACTTTTTGCCCTTAGTCAATTGTTGTATCCCACCAAAATAAATAAATAACTTCAGCTGTGTTTTGCTCTTTTTTATTATTATTGTTATTGAACACTATCTTATCTTTGAATAGTACTTTCCAGTTACTAAATCTCTTCCATATATTGGCTCATTTGAGAAGAAATGTAGTGTTATCAAACAAGTTCAGTTTTAGAACCAAAGAGATTCTGGCTTTATCACTGACTAGCTGTATCTCCTTGGATAAATCATTGTATCTGTCAAGAGTCCCAAACTTGGCCTGGAATGTTTCTTAATCCATGCTGTCTCTTTTTCACTGTACAGGTAGGTATTAGCTCAAACATTACCTTTTTAGAGAAGCTTTCTTTACCACTCAATCTAAAAATTACTCTGGTTTAGTCTCTTTTAGCATTTACCACAGACTAAAATTACCTAGTTGACTTATTATATGTTGTTCCACCAGGATGTAAGTTCCATAAAGTAGGCTTACCTGCTTAGCTCCTATCTTCCTAGCATCTAGGACAGGGTCTGGCTTTTCAATAATTCTTCACTGCAGCAAGAAACTGTAGATAGCAAAATCCCCAAAACAATCAGTTACTCTTTCTGGGAAGTATTTAATATGAGAAACATACTAAAAAGGCCTCTAGGGAATGATAAGATGACTGGGTTGCTAGAGCTGTTGTATTTGGTATTGATCTCTAAAAAGTGATAATCCATCAGTGATCCTCATAATTTCCATAAGACCATCAATATATCCCTATCATTGAAGTGCAAAGGCACTAGAAAGGCTATATGGCTACTGTCAGTTTTCAGGCCATCCTGGTGTATCCTTACAATACACTCCATCACCTAAAGTGAGGTCCCAAAGGCAGAGAAAGGTACCTATAGGAGATCTGAGGGTGTAGCATCCGTAGTGGCAAACCTTGTAGAGCTTTCAATGATAACAAACAGCCCAGTTCAGCACATGTGCCATAGGTTCATACCACTAGAGCTCTTGCAGCCTCCTCCAGACATTGAAGTCCATTTACATTTTATCTTAACAATTATATAGATTTTAGGCTCAGTATCATAATATATGTCTGTATTTATGTTAACATAGGAATGCTTTGTATTATTATTATTCTTGTTGTTATTATTTGCAATACTGGGATTGAATTCAGAATCTTCCCACTGAGCTACATCCTCAGGCTTTTTTGTTTTTTACTTTGAAACAGCATCTCTTTAAATTGCTAAATTGCACAGGCTGGACTCGAACTTAGTTTTTTTTTTGTATTAAATTCTTTTATTGGTACATTGTAGGTATACAACACAATTACATTTCTCATTGGGAATTGTACCTTTACATAATGCATCTTGGTTCTTATTTTTTCCCCATTCCTAGCCCTCCCTTCACGCCCTCCACCCTTCCCTATTTACAAAGACTTTATTTCCATTTCTCATCATTTTTTCCTTTCCCTTCTTTCCTTTCCCCTGCCCCTCCCACTACCCCTACCCCTTTGGACCTTTTCTTCCTATTTTACATTATCGATTATTCATTCTAATAATTGGTACATTTTAGGTATACAATATAATGACATTCATCATTGGAAATTTGCACCTTTACATAGTCTCTCTTGGTTCTTATTTTTCACCCTTGGCCAGCCCTCCCTTCAACCTCTCCAGTCCTCCCTATTTACAAAGATTTTCTTCCTATTTTTCCATTTTCTCATATTAATCCCATTCCCTTCTATCCTTTCCCCTAGCCCTCCCACTTCCTTCCCCTTTGCCCCTTTTCTTCCTATTTCACATTACCTATTATACATTTATGGACTCGAGCTTGTGATCCTCCTGCCTCAGCCTTCCGGAATGCAGGGAAGCACCATCACACACAAATGTACATTATTTTACATTTGTGAAATTTGTACTGTAGGAAAGCCATTCTATCCTGGTTTGTACACTCTGCATGACAATCAAAACTGAGAGATACCTATTTGCAGTCTGAGAAGTTTTGGCATTCTTTTTTTTTTTTTTTTGGTACTGGGGATTGAACTCAGGACCTTGCGCTTGCAAGGCAGGTGCTGGAACCATTGGGCTAAATCCCCGGCCCAAATTTTGGCATTCTTTTCCCTTGCAACATATGTCTCTAGTTCAAGTTCTCTTTTAACACCATTCATTCATTCTCAAATAAATATTTATTGAGCATCTACTATGCATAGAGACTGTAAGAAATGTAACTGTGAAGTGGGTATGTATGACTCATTTTTATGGGAGTTAACTTTTAGGAAGAAAGACATGAGGAAATTAAAACATATTATGATGCTTGTTAAGCTAAGGAGGGGGAACTCAAGATGCTAAGGAAAATGCAGAAAATGTTATCTAACTTCAAAATAGGTGATGAGGAAAGATATTTCAATTAAAAAAAAATCTGAAGAATAAGTAAGAGTTAGCCAGGTGAAGTATAGGGAAAATATTCCAGGGCTGGTTTAGACTAAGCCCCCGAGGGAGAGAACAAAGGACATAAAGGCAACAATCACACATGCTATTTGGTGTTGCTGGAGTAAAGTGCTGATGAGAAAAAGAAAGAAAGTTGGAGAGATAAAGCTGGTAGTGAAGGGCATCTATTAAGTGCTTTAGCAGTTTAGAAGAGAGCACAAAGACATCGAAAAGTTTTAAATTTAGGAAGAAATTATATATTATTTTTAATGTTTTTCCTAGGTGCTGGGAATTAAATCCAGGGCCTAGCCATGTATTAGACAAATGCTCTATCATTGAGTTATACTCCCTGTGCCCCAGTCCTTTTGCTGTTTTATTCTGAGACAGGATCTAAGTTGCCCAGGCTGGCCTTGAATTTGAGAACCTCCCACCTAAGCCTCCTCTGTAGATGGGATTACAAATGTGCACCACAATGATCCTTATATGTGTTTTTTAGGTGCTCAGGAAACAACTTTATGTCTGGAAAAAAATGGGAACTTATTAATATTAAGGTAAGAGGTGGCACTAGCAAATGTTGAGCCCCACACTAACTGGAGTGAGTTTCCATCTTAACCCTTTCCTCTTTAAGTTATCTCTTTTCCCCAAAGATAACCATGGATTATCTCTGGGATTCACCTGTTCCCTTTCCCATAGACCCAATAGGTTCCTCAGCTCATGGCCTCAAGGATGGAAGCCTTTTCCAACAGGGCACAGCACACATAGCCCAGGTAATCTTAAAAGTTAACACGCTATGGCCTTTCTATCTCGTGTTCTTGATCTGATGTCCTGATGGAGGCCACGATTAAATTGGGACTGGAGTGAGTCTGGGGCAGATTATGGTCATAATGGAGAATACAATTATTGATGCATCTGGTCATTTACTGAGAAACTCTTTGTTTGAATTTTCCCATCCATCAGCTGATACCATCCAGGTTTTCAGAGTCTAAGCCCTTAGACAATGAGTGACAATTACTTTGGTAACTGCAGTGGTTAAGCCAAGGAACCCTGACAGGTTCTCGATGGAAACATCATCTAAAGTTGCCACATAATTTAGACCAAGTGATTTTTCTTTTTTTGGATAAGCTAGAATGGTGCCCATATGTGGTTAGAACCCAAGGGTTCTCTATTCCTTCTCTGAAGAAGGAATTGATGTCTCTCTGGCTCTCTTACTGAATTTTGGGCTACATTTCTGACAGAATTAGCAGTGGGCAGCAACAACTGGGAAAGAGACACACAGCTCCCAACCCTAAGGGTTTTTTTCAATACCCCAAGATTATCAGCAGAGGCTCACAAGAAATGTTTACAGTGAAGAAATGTTTCACAGACTGGAAACAGAACGGATACACTAGCATTTCCTTTTCCTGTCTCCATCTGATCCTGGAACGCGTAACACAGACGCTTTTTTCTCCCAGGACAACTCCAGAAGAAAAAGAACGTAAGCAATTGCACTCTAATTCCTTAAGACATTTATAAACTGGTTAGGACCGTGCTTTCCAAAGTCGTAAAGGCATCTCTTTTCAGATTGTTCTCATTTTCCCTTTCTGGTCCATAACTACAATTTGTTTCTTTTCATACCAGTCTTCGCTTTGTCTTTACCTCTGCTATAAGAAAGTCTTCGAGTCTCTCCTTTCCAGGCTTCACAGAAGAGACCGCAAGCGATCATATCCCAGACCAAGTTTCAGTCAGACAGCAAGGCCCGAGCAGCGTGGGAAACTCTAAATGGGACTGCAGTCGCAGGTCTTTGGTCCTGCGCTGCGGAGGCCGCGACGAGGGACGCGGCCTCTTTAAGAGAAAGCCACACCCCTTTCCCGCCTCCCGGCGCGGCCAGCGGTCGGTGGCTGCCGCTACGGGGCTGACAAGATGGCGGCTGGCGGGGCTGTCGCTGCGGTGCCCGAGTGCCGGCTTCTGCCCTACGCGCTACACAAGTGGAGCTCCTTCTCCTCTACCTACCTTCCCGAGTAAGTGCCGGAGCTTGGGCTCGCGCTGCCCAGCTCTTCGGAGGAGGCACAGCTGGGCCAGGGTTGCTGTGGAGGGTCGCTGAGGCAAGAGGCCCAGGCGGGGCCTGCGAGGGGGACGCGCGGCCTCTGGATTCGCGGTCCAGCCGCGGAAAGCGCCGCCCGCCCCCGCCTCGGAAGGCGCCAGGGTGCTCGCGGAGGGCTCCGGGAAGCGGCGAGGTGCGGGGCGGTCCCAGGAGGGCGCGGGAGATGCGGGAGCTGGCAGTTGCTCTGGCCCGGATTTGGGGTTGAGTTGGAGGCGAGCTTGGGGGCCGGGCGGCGCTGGGGCGTGGGATGGGGTGGGGCGGGGGTCGGCGCTTTCGGGGGCCGGCCGGCGGGCAAACTGGGCACGACTGCTAGTGGCTTAGAGGGGGCCGGCGCCGGGGGGTGGGGACCTCTGGGTAGGTCGCTGCTGGGACCGACTGCAAATCTGGGGAGCTCTTGAGGAGGGGGACCTTAAAAAATGATCAGCTCAAAAAAAAAAATGATCAGCTCTAGAGAAGTGGTGAAAAGTCAGGGGGCTTGAGAAGTTGTGGATCCATCTGCATCCTGGCAGGGGTATGAAGCTGTAAGGTATCTTTTTTGGTTGGAATTTGTGGGCGGGGGGGACGCGATATTATGGAAGAAGGAAGAACATTACGGAAGAATTGCATTCTACTAGGGCTAATGAGAAGGTGGATTTGTAGAGACTTAGAGCAGTTTCACAATCCAGAAACTCAAATATGACTAGTGAAGTCTGGCTTTAAAATGAATTTGACTTCTAACATCGGTTTGCTCTGAATCCTTGATTTAGGTATTAAAAGAGACTTCTTTTGCTTTATTATCCTATGTGTTTTTATAGCAAATTTTATTTAGTTTATTTTTGAGAGGAGCAGATCTAACTTAAGTTTTACATGCAGATCAATAACTGCTTAGTAAAGGTTTAAGATCTATGCAAATCCTGAAGAAAAGTTCTAGTTGTCCTACGTACCATCATCTATCTCACAGGCTCATAGATGGTTTTCTGAACAAAGCAAGCAAATCTGGGTATTTTGAGATGAATGTAATAAGTAAAATGTCTAGATCTATGAAGCATACTCATGGTTTTCCACATATATGTAAAAAATTCTTCACATTTCCCACAATTTGATTCTATAGTCAAATCAGTCAAGAATTTTAAAAAAGAGCTGTAAGTGGAAGAATCTGTAACTCTCTGGACTGCCAGCCCATCCTCCTACTATTCATCAGGTCAAGGGTTGGCTGTCAGGCTTTCAGAGATACGGCTCAGTGAAGGGTGCCAAGTGACCTGTGGTCTGATCTGGCCTGTGGTGCCTACTGATGGCTACTGCGTGGCCATGCCCCGTTTCATGCTAGAACCTACTAATGAGGCTGAGCCAGGTAATCTCTAAGCCTCAGCTGAAGTTGAAATGTTCTTAGGTACTTAAACCCTAATTTTCTAAACTAACTCCTTTTTGACTCTATAGGTGTTCATCATTTTTCTATACCTAGATTAGGAGATTAGGATCACAGTCATTTGGGTATTGGGGTAGTGGTGTTTGATCTAATAAAGATAGTTTTCTTATCTTGAGTTAGGCTGTTTCTAGGATGTCATTCCTTTAAACTTCTGGTGTAGGAGTGAGACTTGGATATCACCGGTCCCATCTAAATTATCTGTTGTATAGGTGTTTCAAGGAAGAATACATTACAAGTGGGAAATGATTTAGTGGAATGGCAACTTTAATCTGACTTGTTTCTTGTTATCCTGGCCCCTGATTTGTTTGTTTTTTAATTTTTTTTGGGTACTGGGGATTGAACTGGAATCTTGCAGTTGCAAAGCAGGCGCCGGGACCACTGAGCTAAATCCCTGGCCTGCTGGCCCCTGATTTGAAGTAGACAGAAACTAGTTTTGGAATTAGAATGCACCTGTCTGAGATTGGAGGAGTGCATAGCTCCGGTCTTCTGAAGTACATTGATAAAGTAGTATTTAATATATACATAACTATCAAACACTTGCACTTATTGTATTGTATTTAATCCAATGACATTCTGTTGTATGTCTACGGTTTATACTTTAAAGCACTGAACTATTTTAATTGAAGAGTAATCTGAACTTTTTCTTTGAAGGAGTATAGTTGAATATTATGGAGCTTGAATTTGAGAATTTTGTGTCTGCTGGGTTGGTAAAACTTGGTTCTAAACTTCTGTTAGCAAATAAGAATGTTATAACTTTGTATGACAGGAAGTATAAGAAAGGGATTGTGTTTCCTTTACCCTAAAATCTCCTGTAAGGGTAACTGCTGTATCTTTACTGGCAGTGGAAGTTCTTATATTTCTTGTTATATTAAGGATCATCCCAAAATAAGTCTCATTGCAGATATAGTTATTTGTTGAAATTTTCCACAAAGTAGCAGATACATATTGGGAAATCTGGGTTTTTTTTTTTTTTTTGTAGCGAAGATCGAACTCTTGGACCTTGCATTTGTGAGGCAGGCGCGGCACCACTGAGCTAAATCCCTTTTCCCCAAATCTGGGTATTTTGAGGGTATTTTTGGATAAATCCTTTTTGGATTTTGAGGATAAATCTGGGTATTTATCATGACAAAAATGATAAACACAATGTATCTTCTAAAAATCGTTCCATCATGAACAATTTGTTTTAATGGGTTTATTCCTTACAACAACCTTGTGAGGAATCTTCTTTTTCCAGTTGAGGAAACAGACATGAAGAGGTGTAAACTTGCCAAAGGTCATTCAGGTAGGTGGAGGCAAGATCTAAACCCAGGCAGTGTGATTCCATAGGCTGTTATTGAAAACATAGTATACTGCTTCTGCACCAAGGTATAATACCAAAGACGTCAGAAATTTCAATGAAGTTTTGAGTTAAAAGCGCTTACATTTTCTTGTGTAACAGTTGTCTAAGGACTTAAACTTTTGTTCTTTCTTCCAAAGGCAGAAAAAAACAACAAAACATTTTCCCTTTTGAGTCTTTTAGACGTACTTAGACCTTAAAAATGTCAAAGCAGATCTAGTTAAAGATGACACATTTTTACTTTGAAAGTAACAAATGGCCTTCTATTTTTCAGGGTGCTTAAAAGAGTTTGCCTGTATTTTACTTTTTCCAGAAATTTACACCTCATTTGGGAATTAAGAGAAATACAGGTGAGGTGGCTAGTGTCTGTAATCCCAGCTTCTCAGGAGGCTGAAGCAGGAAGAGCACAAGTTTAAGACCACCCAGGGCAATTTAGTGAGAGCGTGTCTCAGAATAAAAAACAAAAAGAAAAAATGCTGAAGATGTAGCTGAGGGGTAAGAGTATCTCTGGTTTTGATTTTTAATATCAGACCAAAAAAACCCCCCTCTCATAAAACCCATTTATTTAAATGGCAATTTATAGAATCACATACATTATATGTAAAAATATTTGGTAAGTTACTAATTCTTATACTCGAATGTTTATATTGTAGCTAAATAATGATGCTACCTACAGTTTATTGAGGACTAACTATATGCAAGATGCTTTTGGTATTTAGTTTTGTTTAATCTTTAGCACTAATTTACAAGATTATCAAATATTATATCGTCTGCAGATGAGAAAACACGTCTATACTGTTGTTATTTGTGTAGGGTCAGTTTTCAAGAGGCTTGGCAAGTTCTCTCATTTAAAAACTATTGCTCTATGGCTTAAATAATAGCTGCCACTTGTTGAGTGCCTTCTATTCTTTAGGCACTCTACTGAGCACTTAGGATGTATTCTGAGATTTAGTGTTAACAAAAACTCTGTTCAATATTATCATTATATTTTACAGCTAGGGAAACAGAGAAGTAAATTAATTTGCTCAGTTCTGAGACTTGAAAGTGTTGGAAATAGGATTCTCATCTTGAGTCTTCTGACTTTTATTGTAAAAGCTGCTTTCTTATTTTACATGACTGTGTTATGTGCTCAATTGGGAATACAGATAAGTACTCCAAAATTAGAACAGTGAGAGAGGGAATACTAAGTATATTTTATTTTGATGTTTAAGTTTTTAAGGTATTAATATGCAAGCTAGGAGAAACTTTAAAAGTACTTTTTACATATTAGGTAATTTCACCAATGTGGAATGGTTCTTATCTTGTTTACATATTATTGAATGATTTTGTAAAATTTGACAGCTAGGATTAGTAGATTTAATTCAACTCTTTAATAACTAATTTAAATTTAACTTTTAAAAATAGATATTTTGTTCTGATTGTAAAAAAACCTCCTAAGTTTATTATAGATCATTTGCAAAGTACAAACTTACAGAAACAAATATATACTTTACCCTTAATCTCTCCACCCAAAGATTACTAACCATCCTTTACATATATGTATATCATTCCAGATCTTTTATGTCTGTGTATTTTCCAATTTAGTATTGTCTTCTGTTTTTTCCTTAATCTATAGGCTGAAGATCCCTAATCCGAAAACATGAAATCTGAAGGGCTCTGAAATATGAAACTTTGTGAGCACCTGTTTCAGATTTCAGAGCATTTTGGATTTTGGAGCATTTCAGATTTTGAGTTTCTAGATTAGAGATTCTCGATGGGTAAATAAAGTCTGTGAAAATATTCCAAGATGAAAACTCTGAAATTTGAAACACTTCTGTCCTAGCATTTTGAATAGGGGATACTCAACTGGCATAATATATAGCATTTCCTTATGTTACTATTCTTTTGTATTTTCATTTGTGTGGATATATTTCATATAATGATTTTATGTCATTTTATTTAATTTTTTTCTGAGATTATTGGATGTTTAGACTTTCTTGTTTTATTTTTTTCCTTCCTTTGGCCATTATGAATCATGAAATAGTTTGCCTTACAGGAAAAAAAAATTGGAACATTGGTTATAGGTTCTTAGATGTTGAATTGCTGGATTAAAGGCACCAGTTTACTTTCTTGTTGATCTTTGTAGATAGAAACCTGGGCAGCCTGGGTAATTTTGGCATTATCCTTCGAAATTTGG